CGGTTCCGCTTCACAACATGATGTGACAGTCACTCCAGTCATTCTTCATTGCTGCTGCCTACACATGCACATAGAATAATGTGTTTGTTTGTCTTTGAAAAATTATAATATAGCTGCCTTTCGCACACCTCGGCTGCACTGTTGCTACTCTACATCCTTTATAGAGGGCAATAAAGAAGATAAAGCATGCTACAGATGGGAGATGTTTGGCATTCTTGCTTGAAGAACAACTGTAAAGATTAACCCACTATTGAAATAATTGCTTATTATTTTTTGTCGACTGACTAATTGTTGCAGTTTTTGTGTTCATCGTTCTCCTTGTTTGAACAATTATTGCATCCTTTTCCTCTGTGATGGTAAGATTGAGCAGCTATAAACACTGCCCTCAGATATGTCTGCATGATACAATCTAAAACCTTCTGTTCTTTATTACTTCTCAGCTGGTAGCATAACATTTGCAGCCTAAATTGTGCTGCACTCCATCGTGATTTCACTTGTTCCACTAGTCACTAAAATAGTTCCCACCCACAGATACCCATCTACCTACGTGAGTCTTAACTTTGTCTCCACAGAGTGTACAATGTGTTGGTCAGGACAGAAAGAGGACAGTGGACCTGAGAGAGAAGTGAAGGATGCTGGTACTCTGAACAAAAAAAAAAACAGGCATGAGTTGCACCGTTGTGGACTGAAGCTGATGAATTATTTGTCCCTGTTGTGCCACTATTGATTCTGTCTCTGTGAAACTGGCTGGCACACAGGATTGTGTGAGTGGGTGACTTAGTATATACAAGTGTGTGTTTACATGTGGTTTCACACAAAGACCACTAATCTCTCCTCTCCTTAGAAACAAAGGCTGAGCTGGAGGATCTTATGGCAGATATCAAGAAGTTGGCCAACAAAGTGCGCTCCAAGTTAAAGAGTGAGTACAGTTTTCTGTACAAATGAAACCTTTAGATTTATTTTAGTCAACTTGATATGTGTCTGCTTGTTCAAATGCTGGCAACTGCCTGTCACGGGTTATCAGATGTGTTTTGCAAATAAAAATGACAAATATTTGAAAGTTCCAGCTTCACAAATGAGAGAATGTGCTGCTTATATATATATATAT